CTCTGAAAGAAACTTTTCAGAAAGTGAAAGCTGGTCTATATGGGTAGTAACACATCAAGGGAAACATATTTAGTATGTGATCATAACCTAACTAACATACTTGCCTTATTCCACTTAAAAAGCCACAGAAACATACTTACAAATCACCTCTGTTTATACAAGTTACTGTGGAAGGACAGAAGCTCAGTGAGGCAGAGGAACATGATCCCAGCCAGATCTACCTGCAGGAGAAGAACCCAATCCCATCTTTGCAGTACCTTCCTTTCATCATATCACATCTCAGAAGCAGCTTCTGTTTAGATCCGTGGAACGTAAGGAGGCTGTCCACTGGAGCACTACTTGCACACTCTTCAGAATGTCACACTCTGAAATGAAGCTCATCTCAGCATCAAGCGTTCTTATTTGTGAACTGGGCTGTTGTAGCGATTTAGTTTCCTGAAATATTACTGCCTTAACAACTATTAGATTTTTCAGTGCACTGAGGGAAAAATTACATTAGATCCGACATCGTGTGAAATTAATAATGTTTGAATTTCAGTAATTGATATAGATTCAATATATACTTATATATGTATACTTAAAACTGAGCTGTAAACAGAGAGAGCAGTGTGGGAAGAGTTTAAAAGTTAAACAATACAGCAACACAAACAATGCTGTCTAAAAGGACATGTACTCAGCTCAGTTAGTAGAGTACTTACCTAACATGCAGGAAGCTCTAGGAATAATGCACACCCACCACCACGCCTACCAGATATAAATAGTGGTTCATTCCTGCAATACCAGAATTGGCGAAGTAGAGGCAGGAAGGCCCCAAGTTCCCGGAAGTCTTGAGTCATACAATAAGTATGTGGCCAGCCTAGGCTACAAGAGACCCTGTCACACAAATACCCAAAGAAAGAAATCCACTGATTACAGTGTACCTTACCTACCAATGGGTAATGGACTGTTGAACTAGATTCAGCATGCTTTCAACCAACACTCAGTTGGTCTTTGGGATTCTGCTCTAAGGGAGGAATGACAGTTTCTTGACACCTAAGAGTATTTCAGGAGATGATGGCTCATCTAGAGTGGTATGGTGCTTCTAAGATATAGTTCTAGTTCTAATTCAGGCACATAGTCTTTGGTCAGTCTACATCAGAACTTTCTTTAATCACAAGATTGGAGACACCTGACATGGCATGTGATCTATGGACAAGAGTGTAGCCAACAGAGAAAATGCACTAGATAAATTACCTTCAGCAATGTGAACTTTATCTTGTACCCATGTTTAATTTTCTAAATTATAGTGCCAACAGAACAAAGAGATTGTGTATCTATATGCCTGTGATTATGTCTAATACTGATATGTAACTCACTTTTAAAATTATACTTACCTCTTAATATGAATAAAAATAATTACCTTTACCTGAAGGGAGAAAAGTAGGGGTAGGGGTGGGTACTTTCTCAGGTTCTTGGAGAGCATCAGAAGGGCAGAGACTGCATCTTCTGAAGAAGGACCATTTCAGGGGTTCCTTACTATTATCTGTATAAGGTGTTCACTAATGAAACACCTGTTTATCATTTATCTTGGGTCTAATGAACTCATTAATACCCCACATTCACATGGAGGTAGATAAAATAAGTTATTCCAATGGTTTGAAATTAAAATCCTATTGAAGAGTATAGTTATTGAATTAGTAGGAAAACTAACTCCTTATGACTGGACAGATCATTTCAAAAAGAAGCTGAGAACTGATCTCTGTTAGATTACAGCACACTCACTTAGCCCTGACAGGGAGGTGGGGGAAGTAAACACTGCAAAGTCACAGCACAGAAGTACACAAGTGATTTTGTCATTATAGATTTAATCACAAGAAAGCAACTTTTCTGTCCTGGGGTCATCTGCTGAATGTTATTCTCATCCAACTTCTCATAATCAGTGTCAGAAAACGGCCTCTGACTTAAGAGACGATGATGCATTCACACTTCGAACTCACTGTGATCAGCCCAGTTATACCACTTGATTCCTAAGAAATATCCCTTCTTGACTCGGAATTAATAGCAGTGGTGTGTGTGTGTGTGTGTGTGTATGTGTGTGTGTGTGTGTGTGCGTGTGTGTGTGTGTGTGTGTGTTGTCCCTCAACTCACTTGGAAGAACCACAAATTAAAGTGCAGCCATATATGTGAACACCAGACACATGAGTGGTTAAGGGGAAAAAAACCCTAGATGCCACTTGGTTAATTTCTGGTTGTTTTAAATTTGTTTTCTTTCACAACACATGGAAAGCAAATCTCTCTCATGTGGCAGTCTGAATTTCTTCATCTCACTGACAAAATGACCCTCCTCAGTGGTCAATCTCGAAAAGAGTATAACTTCATTCTACTCATGCAAGACATGCAATTAACATTAATGAAAAAACTCCAAATATTTTGATCCTGACATTGAGGCTTTTCTCCAAACTAGTTAGAATATGGTTATATTGACATCCACCCTCCATTACAGGCCCTTACTATTTATATTATGTTTGGTAAGTAATCCAGATATTGAGTATAGCTAAGTGTCTATGTAGGGAATTTACCATCCCAGAGAGTGCAAAAAGGAAAAGAATAACATCCCTAGATAGTACAGTAATAAAACATAGCTGTGAGTGTAGCTCATGTTAAAACACACATGGTTCTTGATCCTTTCTGTAGCGTGCACACAGACAAACACACACACACACACACACACACACACACACACACGGCAAAACAGACAAGTAAAATAGGAAAAAATAATTCTATTGTACCTTCATTTCACTTAAATTTGTTCATTTGACTGATCAAGTAAAAAAAATAATAAATCAAATTCTTATGAGCTGATGATTCTTTAGGCCTTGAGATAGCCTTGTGTGTAAAGATGCTTGCTGTCAAAGGTAAAGACCTAAGTTAAGTCTTCTAGATTTACACAAATCAAAATGAGGAGAGAACAATTCAAATCCTAATTTGGCCTCTGATCTTATGTTTACAATGGCAAGGGTTCACCTGCCCACACAGACACTGAAAAATAAATAATTAATAGTGTAGAAAGATTTCACTTAATTCTTCAAGACAATATCTGTCTAAACATTTGCTGTGCTCACAAGATTTGTATATCAATGAAAGAATTGCAAAGGTGGAGTGTTCCTGGGACTCAGGAGACCATCTAAAAAGAAGAGGATATTCTTGTGTTTATGTGAACATTGAGGTCACATTTGAGAAGTGTGAAGCAATTTGCAAATATCGTACCCACCTCTAAACAATAATCCTGAAGAACACACCAAGGAAATAACAGAATTATGAAGAGTTTTGAAGAATTATTGGAGCTGGATTTTAAAAGTCATATGTGATTCAATGTTTATCTCTTGATGTTTGTGAAAACTGATTCAAATAAGATGTTCAAGTGAACACTGAGAAGTGAAAACAATAAAGAAGTTAGTAGTGCAATTCTTGGGATGGAGTAACAGATTGGAGATGGGAATTCAAAGCTGAAAATATGGAGGTCAACAGAGCTTGTATTTTAACGTAAATGAATACTCCCTCGGGGTAATACCAAAAACTACTAATAAAGAATAACTTTTTGTGGTATATATCATCATGTCTCCATCTCCAAACTAAAGGATTATAACAGCTATTGAAAATCTATTAAGAACCAGTCAGAAGTGTCGCAGGCTTTTAATACCAGCCTTTGAGGCTGAGGTATGCGGATCTCTATGAGTCCAAGTCCTGCCTGGTGTATAAGAACAGGTTCCCAGGCAGCATCTGAAAAACCTGTTCCAAGAAACAAAAAAAAATTCTACTAAGAAAACTATGAAAACGAGTCATCAAGAATGCAACCAGATCCAAATTATAAAGGATCTCAGTCTGTTCTTCACTACCTTGCCAATATGCCATGTTAACATTTTCTGCTTAGTGTATTTGAACAGTGTCACTGCTGGCCTACAGCACACATGCACTGGAGTTTCAGGCTTATTCTGCATGTAAGAAAGTTTAGTTGGGGCCAAAACCCCACACCAGTCAGCTCTGCCCTAAAACCACACGGCCCAAAGTGATAAACTGAATTTGGGCAGGTACAGGTGGTACCTAGTTTTGCAACTTGGTGTGGTTCAGTGCGTACAGCAAACACAGGTAGCTCCCAGAACTTCCTTGAGGGCAATTAATACTAATCAGTTGATTCTTCTGTTTAATCACCCTGAAGGTTACAACTGGGGAAATGAACTGACACATCAGCTCTAACTTTCAATTTAGGGAAAAACAAACCAAATTTCTGTTGCTTAAAAACTTTAGATGGCCTGTTTTGTTTGTTTGTTTGTTTTTGTTTTCTTTTCCAACATACTTTGCCAAGTTCCTACATAGTTTTCTTGGAGGAAATTCAAAGCAGTCATTATATGGAAGCACATGGAGCAATGAAATGAGACCTGACCCTGAAAAATAAAATGACATTTCAGAGCAGTGACTCTCAGGTCCTACATTTGAGATACACAAAAGCATCAGCTTATTTCATGAGGCCTACAAATAGGATGCTAAATAGGGCAGTGCTGAGCAGAATGTCTTCAGGAATTAGCGCGCGCGCGCACACACACACACACACACACACACACACACACACACACACACACACCTCTGCTATTAATTCCGAGTCAAGAAGGGATATTTCTTAGGAGTCAAGTGGTATAACACGGCTGATCACAGTGAGTTCGAAGTGTGAATGCGTCATCGTCTCTTAAGTCAGAGGCCGTTTTCTGACACTGATTATGACGGAGGATGATGTCTCTGCATAGGAGAGTTTCCCCCTAGCTACTACAGTGTGGCTTTTGGACTGGATAGGATAGGACAGAGTGTGATAGTAGCTGTTACTTGGAGGCTGAGCTTTCACTCTGGGGCTGTGCCCCAGCCCTGGGAGTGTAGGGCTGTAGCCCCAAACTCGGTGCTTCAGCTTTTAGTGTTCCATAGGACAGTGTTTTTTTGTTTTTGTTTTTGTTTTTGTTTTTTTCACTTTATAGGACAGAGTGCGATAGTAGCTGGGGATAGGGGGCTGAGCTTTCACTCCGGGGCTATGCCCCAGGCCTCGGAGTGTAAGTCTGCAGCCCCACACTGGGTGCTTCAGCTTCTCTTGCTCCAGCTCTCCAGGACTCTGGTGCTGGAGGTCAGAGTGCCAGTGTTGACGCGTCAACTGAGATATGGAAGTGGAGAGGACAGTGGTGCCAGCCGGACCCAGAACCCTTCCCTTTCCCAGTGCCCCCCTGACTGTGCTCTGCTCTGCTGCTGTCCATCTGTCCAGCTGCAAGGCCCCCCATTGTGGGCACAGGGATGGCGGTGACTCGTACTGCCACCGTGGAGTGTCCATGGAGGATTTTTGAGCTGCTGCCAGTTCTAATTATCTTCATGTTCTGTGAATTTAAAGTAAGTAGTGCCATGCTCATGGTTCATTTGCCTATGAATAAAAATGCTCTATGGAGGTTCTAAATGAAATAAGGAATTTGGTCATTTTCATCATGTTGGCTGTTTGGGGAGAAAATACACAAAATTAATCCACAGTTGAAGTCTATTGCCTATAGAAGTACACATGCAAAACAAGGGAAGGGAGTAATTATTTTTCCTTGGGTTGCTGGGAAAGTCTTGAGACTGAGCAAATAAGTTTTAGTAGATGAGGTGTGAAAACAGCATGCACAGGAGCTCACAGCATAAGTGAGCCAAGGGCCTGATGTGAAATGATGCTTACTGTAGACCAGTGGGTCTCAAGGATTGCTTTGGGGTGTGAGATCCAGCATAGGCTCATCAGTGGTGAGACCCACAGAAAAAAAAATGTATAGATATTCCTGATAGTATGAGAATCAAATGTCAGGGGAAAAAAAAACACAGGAAGGAGAATTGATAGGGGTAAGAATAGAGACGTTGGTCCTAAATGGGGCAAGAAGAAATAAGAGCTAAAATGAGTGTGACTTTCTTGATTAGCTGTAGAGATGGGTGGGATGTGTGGAGAATCTAGAATAATCCCAAGTTCCTGGCTGTGTCTGTTAAGTTACTGAGATGAGGCTTATGGGAAGAGAAGCATATTGTAGATGAGAGATGATTTCAGATCACACACATCTTCCTCAGAATCCACAATTAGGGCCTAGGGAGATGGCTCAGTTCGGAAAGGAAAGTGCTTTCCATGATCTGGAGTTGGAGCCCTTAAGGCAATGTAAATGCTGGGTGGAGGTGTGAATAGAAGAATCCCAGGTTCACTGGTAATCAGTTTATCAGAGAATGTGTGAGCTCTAGATTGAGTGAGAGACTCTGCCTTAGAAAAATTGAGGTAGAAAAGGAAGACATTACCACAGCAGCCTCTGGCTTTTCACATAAAATACACAGGCATCTAGCAGTTACCAACACTTATTTTTGATAAGCTTGTGGGTGAGGAACATGGAGGGATTTTGCAGACTTGGCTGGATTTTCTGTGGTTCAGTGGGCTGTGTGGATGTGTGTTGTATTTTGTAAGGGAACAGTTCTCTCCCCTTCAGGATGGTGTTAGCTGTGAGTCTTCTATTGGTGCTGTTTGTCAGATTGAGAAAAGTAGTCCTAGTTTGCAGTCTCCTGATGATTAGAAGGTAGATTTTCTTACATATTTTATTACTATCTGTTGAGATCTTCTTTTTCTTCATTTCTTTTACTGTGGATTATGACATTGGTTTTTTTAACTGAACATTACATTCCTTTCTGTGTACATATGTTGTGTGTGTGTGTGGGGGGGGTGGGTGTGTATGTAAATGCAAAACCCCAAGAGTCGGTTTTATCCTTCTTCCACATTGGTGATGGGGGTCAAACACAGGCCCTAAGGATTGGTGGCAAAGTTTTTACCTTCTGAGCTATCTTCCAGGCCCAATAATATTAAAATTTTTATTTAGATGTATTTATTATATATATAGTGTGTTCTTTATCCTTATATCCCTGCAGGCCAGAAGAGGGCACCTGATTGCAGATGGTTGTGAGCTACCATGTGGATGCTAGGAACTGAACTCAGAACCTCTTGACAACTAGCTAAGGTTTTTAACCATTGTGAGATCTCTCCAGCCCTTGCGCCCACATATTTTTTTTACAAAGTCTTTTATGACTATAAATTTTCCTGTTACACACTGAATTAGTTGTTTTGTGTAAGTTTTGTGTTGCATTTTATTATTTAAATAAAAAAAACCTTTTGTGTTCATGGATGTTTTGCTCTTGCATGTATGTCCATGCATCACATGTTTGCTGTGCTTAAAGATGCCTTAAAGGGTGACATATTTCCCTGGAAATGGAGTCATAGATAGTGGTGAGCCACCAAGTGGATCCTGGGAATCAAACATGGGTCATTTATCTACAAGAATGACAAATGCTCTTAACTGCTGAGCTCTCTCTCCAGCCCTTCCTGGTTTTTTTTTTTTTTTTTTTTTTTTTTTTTTTTTGATAACTAATTTTAACCTGTTGTAATCAGAGAATATGCTTCTCGACATGGGACGTTTTTAATTGAATTTTTACTATTTTAAACTATTTGTATGTGTGTGTATGTGCTTGTAGCTTCAGCTGCCCAAGGAAGCAGCAAGAGGGCATCAGATCTCACAGAGCTGGAGTCATGGGCAGGCACTAAGGGATTTCTTGACATGGATTCTGGGAACTGAAGTCTGCTCCTCTGCAAGAGCAGCAAATGTTTTCAGCTGCTGAGCCATTTCTCTGGGCTTGGCCCTGTGATTTGATTATTTAAAGGATCAAAACAAAAAACAAACAAAGAAAATATTGAGGTGTGTTTTAGCTTAGTGCCTGGAATTTTTCTGAAGAATCTTCCATGTACATTTGAGAGTGAATGTATTTTCTGCTATTATTGCATAGTATTTTGCTAGTATGATAGTCTAACTTATTTGTAGTGATTTTACCTCGTTCTCTTTTCATGCTGACTCACTGAAAGTGAGATCTAAAAATATCTAACTACTGTTGATGAACGGTTTGTTTTATCCTTACTTCAACAGATTAACTTCATTTTGTGGTTCTCTTGCATAAAATCCTACATCTTAAAGACTGAGCTAGCCTTTTCCATCACATCTTTGTTTCTAGTAACAGTTTTAGTCTTAGCCTTTTTTATCTGCTATCAGAGGAGTCAATCTACTTGTTTATGATCAGTTAGTATTGGGGCCTGGTGATAAAGACTAGAATAACCCACTGAGGGAACATGGATTCAGGAAGAGGCAATATATGCAATTAACTGCAGGCATTACTCTGTGAGGTGTGGAAGAATATTTTAGAGGGTATGTGGAGGGCTTGGTTATACATTCATAGTCTTTGGAGGGAGATAATGGAAATATTTGCCATGCCTGAATATCTTTTCTTGTGATCCTAGAGGCAAATCTTTGTTATCATTGCCTTGCAACATGATATCACACTTTTGTGTATGTGGCTCAGGTGAGAACGAGAGAGACATTTCCAGGATAAAATATTTTTAACCCTTTTCTGAGCCCTTGTAAGTTCAGTCCTGTAACTTAAGGATCTAAAACACAAGGTTAAAGGAACTCTCCATGAAACCCAGAGCAGAGGCTGTGCACCTACACTTTGGATCCTTTCTGGAGTCACAGATGTAAAAAGGAAAATAAAGATACAGGGAATAAAGAAAGAGGATACTATTGCATGTATTTTTTTTTGGTATTAGTTAATAAGCTGTAGATAGCAGTTTGTAAAAGGTCCTTGTCATGTACTAGCATAAAACAGGTTTTATAGATAGTAATTATCTAAGGATTTGTTGTTCATTTTGTCAGACCCCAAGGAGAAGACAGCTGTGGAGTTTCTAGATGGTGTATGTTGATGCCTGGAACGAGTCAAGCCCATCATTTCTATGGTTCTTTTTGAAAGAGCCATTTTATTTTTGGGCTCAAACTGCATTAATTTAACTCAAGAGACAGGAAGGAAGGGTTTAAATCCCAACTCTGAAGCTCTGTCAGTTTCTTCTCACTCTCCCTTCCTCAGAGGACAAGCTGCGGATCAGTGTTTTTCCTCTGCAGGAAATGTTATTTAAAATCCAGTGCATAGGGATAAATCATGAACCTGAACTCAGGGAAAAGAACCCAACCCAGATCATTGATACTTTTTTTAAACTGGATTTTAAAAATCTTTGGTAGGGATGGTGTCCCTCACCAATCTCCTAAATAAATACATGTAGATTTATTCTTACTTACGAATGGCTGGCCTTAGCTCAGCTTTTTTCTAGCCAGCTTTTCTAAATTAAATTATCCCATTTCTCTTTATGTGTTGCTTCTGAGCTCTTTTCCCTTTATTTGTTCTATATGCCTTGCTTTCCTTCTTACTCTGTGACTGGTGCCCTTGGTGTCCTCCTCCTCTTGTCCCTGGATCTTCTCTAGGTCTCTCCTCCTATTTTTTCTCTCTGCATGCCAGCCAGCCCTGCCTATTTTTTCCTGCCTAGCTATTGGTCTGTTCAGCTCTTCATTAGGCCAATCAGGTGTTTTAGACAGGCAAAGTAATACAGCTTTACAGAGTTAAATAAATGCAACATAAAAGAATGAAACACATATAAAATATTCCACAATGTTCTTTTCTTGATACTATATCCGTATCCTTTAACTGTCCTGGAGTTATGCTCTGTGGAATCTCCCCATAACTTCTGTGTGAAAACTACTGTTTCACCACACTTAGCCCCTCAATAAGAACAATTGTAATTTACTAGAAAACATGTTTGGAGGCATTCTGCTTTGTATTTTATGGTAGCCCATTCAATATGAATAGAGTTGGCCACAGCCACCTGTGCCTGTCTTTGTACCAGTACTGTTGAAGAAGCATGCTTATACGTTTATTTTCTTTGTCTCAAAGGTTGTGGCAGCAGTGCCTGAAGATATGACAACAAGCTTTGATCCTAGTGAGCCATCATTAGAATCGCTGATATGTGTGGTTGCCATTGCACTGCTTACCATTTTCTTATTTCTTTGGAGAGGATAGCGATCAGTAAGTTACCACTTATAGTAAATGAATGGTCATTCTAGGTTTTTTACTTTTGTTTTTTAAGTTTATTTCCTTTTATGTGCATGACTGTTTTGCTTGTATGTATGTGTGTGTGTTATGTGTTCCTGGTCTACAGAAGTGATTAGTGGGCCATTGTTGGATGTCCTGGAGCTGGAATTACTGATGATTGTGTGCTATAATGTCGATGATGGCATTGAATCTTGGTCCTCTACAAGACTAACAAATGCTCTGAGCCATTTCTCTGTAACCTTCATTTTGTGTTTAGACTGAACAACTAATTGGAGAAACTTGTTATTTCAGGGAAATGAGTTAGGTCTTAATGTTCTCCGTTATGCTAACAGGTGGTTTTTAAAAACTGAACAGGGATTAAGAGAAATATTTTTATGTAAGTATATTTTAAAAGATTTTATTGTAGGGATACTACACACTAGTACTAAAGCCCCAACTTTCTTTCTTTCCCTTTTCTTCTTTAAATTTGGGGTGTCTGTGCTGTTTTTAACAATATTGAAAAGTTTGCAGGTATATCTACTTCCCAACTAAGAGTAAAAATCGCTACTTTCATGGCTCTCCTGGATCATATATTGCTTTTTCCTATGCTAACTGTTTTTAAGGAGGGAGTCATAACATAGCGTTTTCTTTCTGAGACTTCTTTTTAGATGTTGGCCTTTGTGCTTCTGACTGACTTCATTTCTAATATCTTCATCGTTTTTTCTTCCTTGCCTTCTGCTTACATATATCCCACTGTTTTTTGTCATTTTTTTCCTTCCAGTTTTCTGTCTCTGTTTTCTAGGTGGCATGAGTGTTCTTGTTTGCGTCCCTTGATCACTTTACCCTATCCCCACTGTTCTCAAGGGTGTATTTATCCCTTCCTCATCGAAAGCTGAAGTATGAAGAAGAAAAAGACTAATGAGTTTTTTAGTCAGTCAAGGTCTATGGTCCAATGATATTTCATATATTTTTATTTTGATTATTAACCGTAGGAGATTTAATAATGGTGGCTCCTTAAAATACTTTGTTTTAGAGCCAATATATGCCTGGGAAACATGGGGTTAAGTGGAATTATACAGTTTTCTTTAGAATGAGACTGTTTCAGAGACACACATGATACCACACAATGGGAGACCTTCCTATATAGCATTGTTTTCATTTGAAATAAAAGGCTTTCGGGTAATTTATTTACCATAAGGCCATAAGAAATTTGGAGTCTTAAAGCTGGAAGTAGAAGTCAGATAGATTTGTTTGAAGATATATTTGTTTTAATGTAATTTTGTTAAATTTTTGTTTCAGATTCAGAGCCGACTTTATTTGAGTAAGTAGTCTTTTTTGATTTTAGATCTTGTGATTGTATCTAATTTAAAGTGTTTTCACACTTTAGCACTAATAATCTTTCCTTTGATTTCTCAGTAAGAGAGAATAGACTGGCTGTGGAACTTGCAATGGACATCAAAAAGAAATGTGATCTAACTGACAAAGTGTGCCTTGCTCAAGAGGAGGTAAGATGTGATTGAAAATACCACCCATTACAGTGTGCTGCTTAATTGTTCTCCATGGGTTATTGCCTGCCATCAGAGCTTTGTTTCAGACCAGAGCTCTGTTGCTGCTCAACTTCATCACTTAGCCATTCTCTTTGCAGCCACCCTGGTGATGTGTAGTGTTTACCTTCCCTGACTATTTAGTCAGAGCACCTTGATTTCCTTATTGCTCATTTAGATATTGTAAAATTGCCTTTTACGTCTTATCCACCTTAAAAGATGACTTTATTTTTATTGTGTTGTCTATTTGTATCTATATGTGTAGGCGTGTCCCAAGAAGGCATTTGTGTAGTTATCATAGGATCATAGGACATGGAGGAGTCACTTTCCTCTTTTTACTACGTGGGTCCCTGGGATTGAACTCAGGTTATCAGTCTTGGCAGCAAGCTCCTTAACTACTTACTGAGCCATCTCACTTGCGCATTTCCATCCTTTTAAATGCACTCATAATCTTTCTCAGTTTATGCCATATAGATTAGGGCCTTTGCTTTTACTATTTTATGTCATATATAAGAGTTTTTTCAGATATATGGATTGTAAATCTCTTCTACTCTGTGGCTTACATTTCTGTTTTGTTTGGTGTCTTAGAAGGTAGAGGATTTGAATTACAATTTAATGTAGTGTAATGTTTCATGAGATTTTTTTGCTTATCAAGGATGTAAAGGTACTTTTACTTGTTATCATGTAGAGACTTTATTTACTGTTTTCATTTGGACATGCTAGGGCTACTGTGACAAAATACCTTTAGCAGCAGAAGTGAATTTCCTTACAGTTCTTGAAACGAGTCCATGGAGATATAGCCAGGCTTTGCTTCCTCTGTGACCTGTCCCTTGACTTTAGATAGTACTGTCTGCTTGTTGTGTCTTTCTCTGTCCTAGTGTTCTCCTCATAGGATATCAGTCATATTATGTTGCGGTCATCTTAAATCCCTCATTTTAACCTAGCTGTATTCAAAGGCTTTGTCTCTAAATAACACAAATTCTGAGGTGCTGAGATAAAAGAGACAGGGTTTCTCTGTGCATCACTGGCTGTCCTGAAACTCACTCTGTAGACCAGGGTGGTCTGAAACTCACAGATTTTATCTTCCTTACTTGCCTTATTTATCACATGATATAAATGTCTGATAGCCAGTTACCACATATTGTTCTACTGACAGACTGGAGAAGCCATTAATCCATTCAGGGGATAGTAGAAGACTCACTTCTTTAGATACTCTTTAGTCACACTTGCTATTATGGTTTTCAGCCCCAGCAGATGTGGGGAAACTTTGCTAGTCACAACGGAAACGTTCTGCCTTATGTTGCCTAGGCTGATGGTTGTAGCTTGTTTGTAGACCTGGCTTTCCTCGGCACAGTGTTTAGATTGCAAAACTAAGCTCACAAAATCCAAGGGTACTTTACATGGTGGATATAAATTCTGTTTCCTTCTTTGGTGTCCATTTAGATACAAGTTGAGAAAAAATTAAGATTTTTTCCTCACGTGTTCCCTTATTTCATTCAGTATGAAGGCTTAGAGTCATCCTTAATGGAGGCCAACTTTGACAAGGCATCAACAGAAATACAGAGATTGAAGGTAAAAACAAAAGTATGATATAAAAGCTAGGGAAAAGATTCTTATTAGAAATATCTTGTCTCCTCAAAAATAATTATGTCAGAAATATGAAATTGTGTATCTGGATCTTACAATGTACAGAAAAAGTTAGTGGAAACAGAATATTTGTAGGTAGCATAAAATATTTTAAAACATAACAGTTTCAACTCTTGTCATTAACTTGTTTTGAGGGATACAAAATCAGTTTATCAGAAGCTATAGATTTATAGAAAGAAAGAAATTCTGCATTCTGTACTCCGGTGAAAGGATTGGAAAGACAATTCCTACTTTTGACATAGTTTGCTTCTGGAAAGAAACATAGAACTCTCACAAATTTAAGCATAGTAGCAGATAAGTAAATTGTAACTATATTATTTTTTCTTACCATGGTAGTACACATTTACTAAAATTAGACCAGAGGTTTAAATTGTAAAGACTGGCATGGTGATAAATATTTAATCCCTTTCTGTGCATCAACCCTTGTCTACACACTCCATCACAGCCAGTTTTCAGTCCATAACCATGATTTCACAGAATGGAGAGTTTAGGAGAGTTGGACAGTTAACTCTCCTGATTCAGAGGACACAATGGCTCGTCTTAACAGACAGAGTATGATGTGATGAAGTGCCTCAAAACTCTTTGCAAGTGGAACAGTTATTAAAACTGAGTTGTGAGCCTTTATAGTGAATAGAAATAGCCTGCTCCTACCAATGATAAAACAGAAAAAAAAAAAAAAAACTTTGTCCCTTTGATTATGAGTTCAGTCCAGAATGGCAGTTCTGTCATCCTCTGTCCTGAGTAGCAAGTCTATGTTTATGATGTAGAATGCCCTTGTAGAATCCGCAGGGAGTTTAGACTCCAAATAAACTCATTAATTTTTCTTTATTTTTACATAAAAGTTTTTTTGGAATACAACTGTTTTAATTCCTTCAGGGGGTATTCATTGTTTTCCATGGTTGACTGGTGGGCACCTAAAATACTTACACTTTCTTTTTGATAGAAGTTGCTGGCAACTGCTAAATCTGCTGTTATTTTAATATTTGAGAAATGAAAAAATGTGTAAAGTGTTTATTAATTTGAGTATACTCATCTGATTTTTACCCTAACTAAAATTTCTTATGTTTGGCTTGTTTAAAGTTAGCTTTCTATTTTAGGCAACTTATAAAAATCTAGAAAGAGATAAATCTAAACTTGAAGAAGAAATATTACTTATAGAGAAGAAACTAGAAGAAGAGAGAGCTAAACGTTATGAAGAAGAGGAATTGGTGAGTCTTATATATTCCAAGAGAATTATGAATCTTAAATAAATTAAATATTGATTAAAATATTATATGTGAGCCAACCATAGAGGCACAATCTTATAATACCAGCACTTGGGAGGAAGAAACAACAGTTCCAAGCCCTGAACAGGGAGAGGATATACTATCTTCAAAAATGAAAAGAAACTCATGTATGTAAAAAATGAATGCAGGCTGGACATTCTTGACAAATGCCTTTAATCTTAGCACTCTGGAGGCAGAGGCAGGCAGATCTCTGGGAGTTTGAGGCCAGCCTACTCTACTGAACGAGTTCCAGGAAGGTTCCAAAGTGGCACAGAAAAACCCTGTCTTGAAAAGACAAAAGAAAAACAATGATGTGGAATAATATGAGAACAAAAATTTTCACATCTGATCTGATCTTTTCACCTCTTTTGTTTATTTGTTGTTATGTTTTGCTTTTTCAAGACAGGATTTCTCCGTATAATAGCTCTGGCTGTTGTGAAACACACTATGCAGACCAGGCTGGCCTGGAATTCACAAAGATCCACCTCCCTCGGCCTCCTGTTTTCTGGGATTAAAGGCATGTGCCAACACCTCCCATCAAACTTTTACTTTTTAGATGTTATGATGAGTGACTTGTGCACATTCCTGTTTTCTTATTGTTTATATTTATTGACATACTCTTAGAATATAGTCCTGTATGTATAAGTGAGGCTGGCCTCAAACTCATGACCTTCCTGCCTGTGCCTCTTAAGAGCTGGGATTACAAGTGTGCACCCCCACACTTGGCTAGCTTGTTATTTAAATGGAAAATTTCAATATTTACATTGCAAGTAACCATAAACAATATAACTTGAATATTCATAGTGAAAAATATATAACATATATATATATATATATATATATATATATCTTTTATTTTACTTTAAATTCTGGATTAAGCAAAATCTTGATGTGTGTGAGATTATTTAACACATGAATTAGTGGGTTCACCTTAAACCTGAAAAGTTCTATGATGTATTGCATTTGTAAGGACATCATGTGATTACATAATTTGTAAAATCCTTGTGAGCACTTGGAATGCAATCTGACAAGGCCTCCTCATCTGGCCTCTCCCTTTTATTAACAGTAAATTAATAATGTACCTAACTAATGCATGTTGTCTTGGAGCAAAATGGACTTATTAAATTCTTACTGACTGATACTGTCTTTTCAGATGAGTGGCCTTTCAAAATTGATGCAGTCTCTAGCAGATGAATCACAGTCTGTCAAATCACAGCTAGCTGAAGTAAGTTAAGTTGAAATAAATTGGTCTGTCATTTCTGATGACCATTTATGTTTCATATTATTATTGGGTATATTTGTCAGAGTTTTTTAGAGGAACAGAATTTAGAAGATGTATATATATATATATATATATATATATATATATATATATATATATCGGGTATTTATTAAAGCGTTTCCAGGCTGTGATCCACTCAGTCCAGCAATGTCAGTCTACCAACAGAGATTCCAAGAATCCAGCACTTTCTCAGTCCATGAGGCTGGATGTCTCACCTGATACTCAGTATACACTGGAATACCAAAGAAGTAGGCTGTAATGCCAGTGAGGGTGAGGACCAGCAAGCTTCCTCCTTCCAATGTCCTTTAGATAGAAACAGTACTCACAGCTTCCTTGGGTTTTAGTTAATTCCAGTTATTGTTGATAACCAAACATAGCCATCACATTAGGTAATAAAATATTGTTAGTATTTGAAATGTAGCCAAGCTTAAATAGGCATTTGTTTTAATGTGTTACTTTGATTGAAATTCATTTTCCTCTGGATATATTTAACCTAGGAATGTATCTGAGCACTCTTGAAGTTGTGTAACATGTATCGATAATAAAAAGATTTGCTTCCTGCCATGTAAAGTTTAGGTCAGGAGACAAAGAGTAAGGACTGTGGTGTCTTTCTCTAATATCTACTCCTGCACTAGTGAGCATGAGGACTGTCCTCATGAGACCTCCAGAAAGCCTTCAATTCTGGTTAGAGTTTCTTTTTTAAAATCACAAAGTGGGCAGGCAAGCAAGCAAATTTTTCTGAACTGTACATGGCAGTAGAAGGTTGCTAAGGGTGACAACCCATTCTTTCAGCTATTTCTCCATGTTATTCCCTTCCTGGTAGCAAGTGAAGCCATGTTTGGCAAATAGGCAGTACAAGCAGTGTTTTAAGTAAGCCGCTAAATAAACCAGTAATTCTGTAACTAATAATTGTTCTTTTCTATTTCAGTAGTTAACAAAATTGTCTGCATTGTACATGGAAGGTTCAATAATTTGTTCAAAGTCATATGGCAAATGAGTGTATCAAAGTAGTGTTGATACTGTCTCTGCTGTAAATAGTGGAATGTTTTGGCCTTTGCTTACATTTTATGTTCTCCAGAAAAGACATAATCAGGGGGCTTTCTTTTAAATTGTTTTAAACGGTGTATTTCTATTACTTAGGCCAAAACCACACTAAGAATATTTGAAATAAATAAAGAACGACTTAAAGGAGTAATAACAGATACCTTTAATTAAAATTCTCAACTTCAGGAAAGCGTGCATCAGGTTTGTAGACTACAGATATTCTTTTAGATATGAATATAGCCTTTGATGTTCTGGGCACCTCACGAATGAACCATGTGTGGAATTGTGTAGTGAATGAGTAAAGTTATGAGAGCAAGAAGTCTCCCCTGCAGACTCCCATAGAGGATTTAAAAGTGTGTTCTTCCATCTGTCTTCTCCCATGATAGAAGGCAGTCAGAATTTTTACTCTCACAGGAGACATCGGCTAACAGGATTCCTCACAATAAAGACTGCAGTAAGAGTTAACAGATTACCAATTGGGGTCCTAGAGGAGGGAGGAGTTCTTGGGTAATATAAAGTGACAACTTACCTTTTATCCTCACCCTCCTCTCTCCTACACACTAACACACACGTGCTCTCGCTGCTGTTGTCATAAATCTGTTTATCTTCCCAGGTCCCAGGCCCCTTCCCCTCTGTATCTTTCCTTCCTTCCTTTCCCTCCCTTGCTTTCTCTCTTTTCCTTCCTTTATATAGTGTGCACATTGAGATGGGTGTGTGTGTGGGGGTGTGGTGTGAGAGTTTGACTGTGCACAGGTGTGACATGGTGTTGGTCCTTACCTTTACTTTGTTACAGTCATACTGTTCCTTTCCTCTTGTGGAAACGCTTTTACTATCTTCCCAACTTACTAGTGAGACATTTTCTTCTTACAGTATTATGGATCTCTAAATAGTAGTCTGTCTGACTTGACTATATATCCTGAGTTGCCCGACGTTTTATTTTACTACTTGGCTTCCTGTAATGGATATTTGTAATCTATCTCAATGGAAATGTCAATCACTCAACTGCCTTGGATAATTTGTTCATTTACAATTCTATTATTGTTATTATTGTTATTTATTTTTTGAGAGTGTCTTGTATTGTAATTCAGGGTGACCTGGAACTTACTGAGCTACTCAGTCTCCTAATTGCTAGGTTCATAGGTATGTGTGTGCCTACTGTCAGATTTTTCCTCTTCTATTTTTTATTTTAATTATGTGCATGTGTGTAACTTGATTCTAGATATGTGCACACAAGTGCAGGTACCTTTGGAGGTCACAAGCATCAGATCCCCAACATAGTCTGTAAGGGGAACCAAATCCATGTCTCCTGAAATAACCATAAATATTCTTGGACTCCTCCTTCATTTTCTTCTGGGGGCCATTTTTCTTGGAATCTTAGATTCTCCTAGTTCAATAAGAATGTGTAATGAGTGGCAGTGGTGGCACATACCTATTTATCCCAGCACTGTGAACAGAAGCAGGTGGATTTCTGTGACTTTGAGCCCAGCCAAGTCTACAGAATGAGATCCTGGATAGCCAGAGAAACCATATCTCCAAGAAGGAAATAAGGGAGGAAGGAAGAAAGGAAGGAAGGAAGGAAGGAAAGAGAAAGAGCAAAGGAAGAAAAAGAAAAATGTGTTCTATAGATCTACTGGGCATTTTTGTCCTGATACCACAGTTCACTCAACAGCCAAGGATTCTTGTTTCCTTATCTAAAATGTTCTGTTTCCTGTTTCAAAAGAGAACATTCATTAACTTGTTTATCTTTCAGATAATAAGGTACAGTAGGTATTTTAAAAGGAGATTGCATAGCTGTAAAGGTCTTATTTTTCATTTTTAAAAAGATTTTATTTTGAAATTAATTATTATTTTTTAATTTTGTGCATGTGTTATTTGTGTGCATTTGTGTTCATGATTAAGGTGCTCTCAAAGGCCAGGGAAGGATGTTGAATCTCCTGTACTTTGAGTTATAAGTGACTGTGATGAGCCAGATATAGGTGCTGGGAACTGAACTCAGGACCCCTTGGAGAACAGTGCATAGTATTAACCACTGAGAAATTGCTCTAACTCGTTGTTCTCTTTCATGTTTCTGATATATAGATACTTATTTGCACTTCTTGGTGTTTTGATTCTGTTTTGTTGTTGTTAGTGTGACAGGGTTTCTCTGTGTAATAGTCTTGGCTGTTCTGGAACTCACTATAATCTCATGCAGGCTCACACCAGGATATCTTTCTGCTGTGCTGCATTTTTTTTTTTAAATAAAATTTTGATATTGCTGCATTGTCTTCCCTTTCCATGTTTGGTTTTGAAACTTGAATGCTGTGTTGATTATTGGACCTTCTTTGCTTTCTGCCCTTTTTTTCTCCTCAAACATTATCTTTCTGTTGTCTTTAGCTCTCTGAGATTGTGTGATGATGTGTCACATAGGGTTTCTTTAATATGTTGGATTCTTACATTCTGGAAACTCTTGAAATTGTGGGTTACTAGAACTATTTATTGTGATAATTTAAATTTTGTTTTTTTTTTCATTTTTATTTAAATTTGAAACATAGTTGTCAATCCCAGTTCTCTCATGTTCCCATTCACGCCTATAACCCCCACCAAAACCCTCCCTATCCCCTTTCTGCTTCCCATGGAGTGTGAGGCCTTCCATAACCATATAGCAATCCAAGAAATACTGGAGAGACTAACTTTAAAGCCCTTCCATCATAATGTTATTGACGACTACCTGATTTGTTGAGTGTGTTTGTGGGTGTGTGTGTGTGTGTTCATTTGTGCACGTGGATACAAGTGTGTAACTGTGTGTAGTGACTAGAGGCCTTAACAGTGTCAGGAATGGTCCACCTCATTTTTTTAGAAGGAATAATCTCTCTTAAGTAATTCTGTCTATCCTCCAGCTCCCTATGCCGAATAGGATGACTTTGATCTCACAGAATTCCACCTGACTCTGATTCCTGGGCACTGAGGTGAAAGGTGTGCATTGCTGTGCTGGACAACATTTCATCTCATTGAGCTGGTTGGCCTTAAATCCAATTAGAAAGTGGTTGCTTACTTTAATAACACTTATGCTACTGTGGTACCATAAGCCACATCTTGCTGCTGGGTTGTTATTTCAGCTTGTGTGCTTCACAGGTAGGTGACATTGATGAATATGTTTTGTACTGCTGTATGCATAACACCTTACAGCACTATTGAAGCTTGCAAGTAGGGATGAAACATTCAGCTATATGTATGCATAAAAGAAAAAATGAGATGAGTTGCAGAAAATGTGATGTGTATATGCATGTTTGAGAGAAGACGAGTACAGGGAGGTAATAGGAGAGATATCAGGAGCATGTGTGTGCTTCTGTGTGTTGGTATGTGTGTATATGTTCAGGCATTCATAGGGACAAGAGGAGGACATTAGATCTTTAGAATTACAGGCACCTGTGAGCTATTCAGTGCAGGTGCAGGGAACTGAGTGTGGGTCCTCTGCAAGAGCAATATGTACTTTTAACTACTCTACTGTCTCTCCAGTTCCTTAATTCTTCCCTTTTGGTTTCCATTCCTCCATCTACTACTACTGCTTTCAATCATGAGCCTCTCTGGATTGTGTCAGGGCATCTTAGTTTATGTTTTTCTAACTGGCTTATGTTTCTTCTATTGTCTGTGGATTGTTTGGTCTCACATGTGTTCCTTCTGTTTGTCCATTTTCTTTTGGGGTTGATGCCTTTTCCTTTCACATCTTTGTTCTATCATCTCAGATTTTAGAAAACATGGTGGTGAGGACTCCTGTGTTGATTGTCCTTACTATAATAAAAGCTGAGTCATCCTCACTTCAAAGTCCTACCATGTATACCAGGCTAAACTGGAACTCACAGTGAAGTTCAGGCTCAGATTATCTGCAGAATATATATATATATATGGACATTGGTGGCACATACCTTAAATTCCAGCACCTGGGAGGCAGAGGAAGGTGTATCTCTGCTGTGAGTTCCAGGCCAGCCTTTTCTACAGAGTTGGTTCTAGGACAGGCTCCAAAGCAATACAGAGAAACTCTATTGGGAAAACAAAACAAACAAACAAACAAAGTAATGAGATGTAACACAGTATATAGGGTACAAAGATAGAAATAATTGACTAGATTTTTCATACAAGTATGTGTCAAAATCATGTACTTGATGAAAATTTTCCTTGGAAAACTGTTGAAGAATATTTCTAATTGTATAGTCTTCTGCTTTGAAAGTTCTTTATAAAAAGGAACCACATCTGAGTCCCTATTTAAGTAGCAGCCCTATCTTTTTTAATATCATTAATGACACATTTAGTATCTTTTAATGATATTGAAAAAATTCATCTAAAAATTGTGCTGTCTTTCACATCCTTGTTATTGTTTTGCTATCAGTATTTAGAAGAAGCTAAAATCATGAAAGAACAAATAAATCAACTCAATAAACAGAAAATAGCAATCAAAGTATCTAACGTACAGGCAGAGCAACTCCTAAAAGTTAAGGAAAATCAGATCAAGATAATGGCTTGTTGGATTTAGTCATTAGTTGGTCACAATTTTATACTTAATTGTAACATCAAATAATTTTAACAGCTTTTATTTGCTATTGTGTCTTTTTGTTACATTTCAAATGCTTCTAGAACATACATAGATTTGTAATACATATGGTAACACTCCATGTCTTTGTTCTCCAGTATCTTAGCCTGGAGTTCATGAATAAAGAAATAAAATAATGATTTTTACCTTTTTGTTGTTTTATATAACCAAGTCCATTTAAATGAAAACAAACATTAGACAATATTTGGGAATTTGGGCATCGTTTTTCCAAACTACTTCCTGCAGGTAAGGGGCTCTTTCAAGGTAATTCCAAGAAGATGCAGAAATCCTGGCTGTAGTTTTAAAGGCTGGTTTGTCAAGCTGTTTTGAATGTAGGATCACCTGATACTCTGTTTCAGGCAGTGTGGCTTGATCAAACCACATTAGTCTGGAAGGAATCTACATCTTTTCACTTTCTGTGGAAACAAAAATAGAAATCCTTTTCCCCAGTAACTTGTCCTTGAACTTAAATTTTGGAGTCAAAGCATTTTTTTATTTAATTTATTATTTTATATATCCATCCCAGTTCCCTCTCCCTCTCTCATTCCCTCCCTTCATTCCACCCTCTCTCCCTCCCTACTTTCATTCCTCCCTCCTTCCCTCCCTTTTATACTCTCTGCCCTCTCACATGCACTCTAAACACCCTCCCCTCCCATCCCCCCACCCCAATTCCATATGTAGGGGAATGCCATCCAGTTGGGGTCATGTAGATCTGACAGGACCTGTGAAGTAGGGACTAGGGCTTCTCTCCTGTCTCTAGGTAAAGGCAGCTATCCCTCCATGGCAGATGTGTTAGCAAGGTCCTTTTGTGCACCAGGGATACGTCCTGGCTCCACTGTCTGAGTTCCCTTAGACTGCTCAGTCCCTTGGCTGAGAGGCATATTCAGTGAGGCCTGAGTCAGTCCCATGCTGGCTTCCCAGCTATCAATCTGGTGGCCCATTAGCTCCTTCCTGTTCAGGTATGTTGTCTCTATGTGTTTCTGTAGCCTGGTCTTGTCCTCTCCATCTTCATCCGGATTCTACTTCGACTCAGTGTTTATGTATGGGTGTTTGCTGTTTGCTCCTGTTTCCATCAGGCACAAGTTTAGGACTCCATGGATAAGTTAGATGTTGATCTCACTCTCCAGGAAGGGATTTATGGTAGCCTTTCCATGGGATCTGAGATTGTTAGTTGGCAGCAGTCTTGTAGGTCTCTAGACCTTTCTTTGCATTCAAGTTTATCTTCAAACAATTATTGGCTCCATATTTTATGTTCTCTCTCTCTCTCTCTCTCTCTCTCTCTCTCTCTCTCTCTCTCTCTCTCTCTCTCTCTCTCTCTGTCTCCTCTTCTATTCCTAACCGGGCTCAAACTTCCTGGTCCTACATATTTTCCTTTCCTCCCCCTCCTTTTCTCCTACTTTTCTCCCCATTTGCTGCCCCCCCACTTCCCCTGAGCTCTGGGGGACCTGTCCCTTCCCAGTTCTGTGAGGGACTTCATATGCATGTGTTAGAATACACCTTGTATCCTACTTTGTCTGGTGATGTGAATTATAGGCTGGTGATCATTTGATCTAGGTCTAAAATCCATATATGAGTGAGTACACACTGTGTTCCTCTTTTTGTGACTGGGTTACCTCATTCAGGATGGTTTCTTCAAGTGCCATCCACCTGCCTGCATGCTTCCCACAGAGGCCAGAAGAGACCACTGGATGTCCTGGAGCTGGAGTTACAAGTGGCTGTGAACCATCTGATATGGGTGCTGGGAAAAGAGCTTAGATGCTTTAGCAGAGTAACGAGTCCCGAACTGCTCAGCTATCTCTCCAGTCCAACTGTAAATTAGTAAAAAAAAATATATAAAGAATGTCAAAAGAAAGTATTTTAGGGAGTGGGGAGATAGTTTAATGGGTTAGTGCACTTGGTCTCCAGGCATAAGGACTTGAATTTGAATTCTAAGCACCCACATAAGAAGAGCATGGCTGCGCATGCCTGAGAGCCACACACAGGGGACAGAGACAGTGGAGATTAGAGCCTGTTGAGCTGCCATGCTTTTGAGATAGTAGAGTTCTGATTCCATGAGAGGTCTTGTCTCCAGGCAGTAAGCTAGACTATGATGGAAGAAGACACTTGCATCTTCTTACAGCATGCTCTTGCAGCTGTATGTGCACATGCATACTCATGTGTGTATGATACACACAAAAGAAAATATTTTGTTGCTTTGTAGTTAACAAGAATGAACCATTATAAAACACTGTATTTGATTTTGTTTTCTCTTCTTTCTTTTCCGTATTCTCTTCATCCTTCCTTCATTCCTTCCTTCCCTCACTACCTCCCCTTCCTCCATTCCTCCCTTCCATAATATCAATAATATTTTTTTTTGCATATAGAGTTTCAAGAGGTATTTTTTTATTACCAGAACTCACTTTATTATATCAGGCTGGCTCCCATCTCACATATATCTGCCTGCCTATTCCTTCTGAGTAGTGGGGTAAAAGATGTACCATGTTCAGCAAGTGAGTTTTTCAGGATTACTAGTCCCTAAATGTGGACTTAGAAAATAAAACCAACTATTTACATATCTCAATTGCAGACAGATACTTAGGACACAAAAGAATTTATTTATGGGGATTGATTTAAAAAAATTATAATATTTAAAAAGTTACTTGTGCATGTATGTGTCAGGTATGTGCATTCAATGATGTGGGTATGGAGTTCAGAAGACAAATTTTGGGAGACAGTTTTCCTACCATGTGGGTTCTGGGGATTAAACTCAGATTATCAGTCTAAGTGGCAGATGCTTTTACCTGCCAAGCCATCTCATTGGCTCAGGATTGAATTTCAGATAAGTTCTAAATTGTAAAGCTATTATCATGAGTCATTACCTTCTCTTTTTGTTTTCTCTTTTTACTCAATATCCAGTCTCTGATGGAGAGCCTGCTAAGGATGAAAGACTGGAATCCTGTGCTTGGGGAAGATGAAACTGATGATGGTAATCTGGATGTAGAAGTGAACAATGACTTAGAGAATAGCGTGCACTGACTTGTGGTAACTGGCTCCTTGTTTCCTCTTCATTCCACATGTGTATCGAGCTCCTCATATACTTAGACTTGGCACATTTTGTCTATCTTCATGAAGTACCACGCAATCTTTCCACCTTATTTAGCTAGTCTTTTGTGTAAATCTTTCTTTTCCTCTTCAGAGTTGTAGACTTCTCTTTTGTTCTTCTCTATAGCCTATATTTCTTCATTATAACAACACTGCTCTTAAGTTCCAAAACAAAAGGGGAACTATAGTAAGGTATAGTAAGGTATATTTGTATTTTTCATTTTTATTTTATAATAGAAGAAACATAAATTCTAATTATGTTTAATAGTCCTTAACTTGGAGCCATGGTTCATTAATAATTTTAGTGTTGAAGCCACGAGTGACTAATTAACCTGGAGGCTGTAATGTCATAAGAATCTAAGCATAGTTAAGTCCATGGACACTGTTTATGTAAATATTCTGTTCCTGTTGGGTCTCTGTAGTGCACTGTCTATCTTCCTGAGTGTAGGTCACTCTACCTTGTGTAAATTATTTTATTTTAATTACTCTTTTTACTGAGACAATCCCCTTGTCTTAGCTGTGAAATGTTGGAATTAGAGTAAAGAGCAAGTAAGTTCAGCCTCAAATTGTTTAATTTTGGCCGGAAGAGGGGTTGCAAGACTAGATGAAGAACTAATGCATTAATTTGGATGTGTTCACTAAGTATGGTGTTATTTTTCACTGTAGGTAATTTGCTTTGAGGAAGCTAATATATGCTACTGAGGTTTGTATTAGTTCGTAAAAACTAGATGAGAAGGAGCAGGACCTACAGCAGAGATGAAATCTGTGTGTCCTTATGTAACTAATTTAAAGATTGCTTTTTTTTTGTATAAGATTATGTGATAAATGATTAGAATTTTCTTTTTCTGTTGATGTATTAATTTTCTGTGCATTGGTGGTTTGCCAGCATGCTTGTCTTTTTGAGGGTTTGAGATTCCCTGGAACTGGAGCTACAGACAGTCGTGAGCTGCCATGTGGGTATAGAGACTTAAATCCGGGTCCACTGGAAGAGCAGCCACTGCACTATCTCTCCAGCCCCTAGGATTTCCTTATCAATTTCTTTTTTTATATCAACTTTAGAAATTCTTATAATTAGAGTATTTAGAAATGTTCAAATTGTACACTCATTCCTTCCATTAAAGATATCTTCAGAAATATTATTGTTTTGTTTCATCATTCACCTTGTTCATTCTTTTCTTCTGGTTCCAATGGTTCCACATACTCTTTTGAGAAATAAATAATAGCTGTGTTTTGTTCTGGTTTATTCCCTCTGTCTGTTCTTAGTTAATCTGTGTAAAAAGTCCTGATTGTATAGGGTGAAGGCTGCTTTAGCAGCTGCACTGGTGTCTTTATGTTGTCCATGATAACATCATCACAGGGAAAATAACTGCAGAACAGTAGTATGGGGTATATTGGGGATGTGTGGGTTTTTTTTTTTTTTTTTGTGTGTGTGTCTAATTGATAATTGCTTTTCTTCTTCTTTTCCTTCTTTAAAGTTAGGTGCTTTGTTAAAATTCCTAGAAGGACACAGAAACCAAATTTATACTCATTTATCTGAAATAGATGCAACAAATGATGATCTTACAGGTAAGGGTTCTTGACGAGCATGTCTCCTTAAAGAGAATTAATTACTTCTGAGTTTTACAGTCAGTGGTAAACGTACTCCATTTTCTCTTATATTTATGTAAATTATTAAAAGCATGTAAAAATGTGGAGTATGGTGCATCTTTGTTAGGGTTTCTATTGCTATGTAGAGACACCTTGACCATGGCAACTCTTATAAGGAAGACATTCATTGGATCTGGCTTATAGTTCAGAGTTCTAGGGCCTGCAGATGATCAGTATACCATAAAGTAGTATTCCATAGTAATTGCACTGCAGAAGGTCACACAGGCAGACATGGTGCTGGGGAAAGAGCCAGAAGTTCTATATCTAGATCTGTAGGCAGCAGGAAGGAAGAGTTCCACTGGGTCAGACTTGAGCATCTGAAACCTCAAAGCTCACCCTCAGTGACAACTTCCTCCTAGAAAGCAATACTTCCTAATAGTGTCACATCCTCTGAGCCTAGGGTGACATTTTCACTCAAGCCACCACAAGGAGTACAATGTTGAATATAGATTTAGATGTTAAAAAGTTTTAAATTTAATTTTTTCCTTACATTTTTAAAATTGAGAAAGTGACCTTCAGGACTTGAGCTTGTAATGTCTACTACTTTAATATATTCATATAATTTATTAGCATACACAGTAGTGACTTTAGACCTATAAAATATATATTTTTTAGGGAAAGCATTAAAAAATTTGCTGATTTTGTTCACATTGAAAAATAGTTTTTTCCAGTTGTGTTTGTGCTGTAAAAAGTATATCACATATCACTTTGTTAATGAAATAAATTCATATGTTTATATCTGAAGAGAATGGATGGACATATTCAAATGTCTGTGCTGGTTAACTCAGAATGGGAACACAGGCATTTTTTTTTTATTTCTCCTCATCTATATTTTCTTTTCAAAACAGGCTTTATTGATCCTGTTACAATTGCAAAAATGATGCAACATAAGACAAAAGCTTCTGCTTGTGGAGCTTCATTTCCACCTGCCTGATGCTCTTCCTGCCTGTTTCTACCTCTACACCTATGATCACAGGCAAGGCCCCTTCACTGATTACACAGCTGAACATAACCATACCAGAAATCAACAACAACAAAATAATCCTCTCAATGAGTACAAGAAACGTCAATATGTAGTCAACCATTACCACGGCTTCCCAGAACTTCACATTTCTTCCTTTTCATTCTTAACTTATTCTGTATTCCAAACGATAGCCAGAACCATTTGAATCTGGACCTATGCACTATACCAGACTTCATCATTGGAAGGCCAGCTTCAGTGTACTTTATCTTCTTTATAACCTTCAAGACCAGGGTTGAGATCTGATGAGAAAAAGACCAAAAGTGTCTCAAAGGCCTTTAATTCTTTGAATGAGAAAAGTGCTTAAAAAAGATTGAACCATTGGATTAAATTGCTCTACTCATTGATTATAGTAATTGTATTGTTATTAGACCTGAAAAAAAAAAACTGGTCTAATTAAAAAAAAAAAAATGCTGCTATCTGAGATGAATGGTATTAACAACGTGGAAGATACAGAGAGGAATAGGCACTCTGTTCTCAAGGTAGCTTTATGGAGGCATACATTAACTTACATGTATCTTAGTAGGAAGTACCAGTGTAGCAAGCAATTAGTTCACCAGTTATTCCATTGTTTACTCCTTCTCTTGGCCAGTCTTAATCCCCTCCCCCCCACCGAGTAATACTGGAAACTCTTGTGTGTGTAGAGCGTTCCTCCAAATCCACCTTTTCTTTTTCCATGGTGTTTTTTAAAAATTATTTAAAGAGTTTTTATTTATTTACTTTATTGGGATTTTGCTCATATATATGTCTGTGTGAGAGTATCAGATCCCCTGGAACTGGAGTTACAGACAGTTTTGAGCTGCCCTGTGGGTGATCGGAATTGAGCCAAGGTTCTCTGGAAGAGCATTCATTGCTCTTAACTGCTGAGCCATGTCTCCAGCCCCAACATTCTTTCCTTAATGCGTCATAAAATTTTTCAATAATTTTACCATATGGAAGCATTTTTCTCTAACAATCTCTCATCTCCCATAGTATCTGGCCTTTTTGGTAATAATTTATAGTGTTCTTCCTTTAAATGTATGTTTATATGTAACCCCAGGTTTCTTGAAGTCTTCACATTTCTACCTCAGCTTCTCACATGTCTGCTTTATATAGGCTTAAAATTCCTGCACCTGGCCTGTACAGTGCCCTATTATAGTGTGTGGGTTCAGTGCTTAAAAGCCACTTCTTCTGAGCCTGATGGTATGAATTCAGTCTCCAGTGGAAGGAGAGAACAGACCCCTGCTAGTTGTCCTCTGACCATTGCCCACCCGGGAATGCAGGCTCAGGTGAACACACACACACACACACACACACACACACACACATACACATTTTTTTAATTGAGCTATTCTTTTGCCCAGACCCCTTCCCTCTGAGCCCGCCCCTGCCTTCCACGTCTCCCAAACACTTAGTTTTAAAAGTTTTAAAATGAGATAAAGTAAGACCCTAGAAAAAAGAGCTTGAGTGTATAATGGTAAAATAATTTGTATTGTTTTGTAAGACTTCTTTGCATTAGTATGATTCAATTATATTACAGCTTATATTGATCATTGATTTCTTGATAAGTGACTTGTTAGATTTGGCAGACAGCATGGATGGGCATTTTTTTTCTGGTATAGCTTTACAATTTTTGCAGAAGTCACCTATGCATGATTTCCTGTACATGTTCACTTTGCTATTACTGTATTGACACAAACTTTTCTTTTGGTCCATATGTTTATTTAGCTTGCATTTTAGAATAATAACATCCCATTGCATATAGTTACTAAACTTTTCCTTGTTATGATTTTGAAACTGCCCTTTTGAAGTATAGTGCATTTTTTCTTGTATTCGACTGGTTCACATATGTTTCGGGAATGATACCTTAGAGCAGGTCAGAGTTGAGGATCTCATTTCAATATTAGAGCTGTGTAGAGTTGTAGTAATCATAATGATAGAAAAGTGAGATATGTAAAAATAATGGTATGCTAGTTCATACCATTCACAATCACTTATAATTGATAATCCATTTTGTGTGTGTCTGTATTCATATGTATATAGAGGACAAAAGTAGATATTCAGGCTTTCCTTCAATAGCTTTCCCCCTTATTCATTGAGAAAGCTCTCATTAAACCTGGATTGTGCTGCTCAGTGAGCCCTAGGGATCTTGTTTTTTCCCTTTCCAGCACTCACACAGGTCTTATATGGGTGCTCATGACCCAAACTTTGGTCCTCATGTTTGTTTAGCCAGTACCTAACTGACTGAGCTATCTCCTCAATTTTGTAGGTGATTCAGTAGTATAGCAGTTGAAATAATGGAAAAGTCATTATTCTTTCCAGTATTCATTTTGTTTGAGACTTGGTCTCTCAGGAAAGTGGAAAAGAGCACTTATTATCAGCTAGTTTGAATGACAGCACATGAACAATTTTGAATGAAAAAAAGCTGATTTATTATGGTACTAGTAACTTTACTGTTGTCTATAGCAATTGTCTATAGCTGTATGTCCCTGGGCATGTCCAATCTTGTCAATTATCTTTTTTTCTTTAAGATTTATTTATTCATTATGTATACAGTGTTCTGACTGGATGCACACCTACAAGCCAGATGAGGGCACCAGACACCATTACAGATTGTATGAGCCACCATGTAGTAGCTGAGATCTGAACTAAGGAACTTTGGAAAAACAAACACCCCCCTTAACATCTCTAGCCACTAAAAATTTAAGACAGATTTTTAATTGTATATTGTCTGAGTGATTCCATATACATTAAAAAACCCTAGGCATGTGACTAAGGATTTTTGTTATCAAGACAGGTTTCTCTGTGTATCTTTATAAAGTAGGTGGGTTTTGAAGTCACAGTGATCTGGCCAATTTTATGTATCTTTAATAAGATTTTAATATGTTTTTAATTTTATGAAATTCCTTTAATTTTGTTTGTCTCAAGTCTGAACAAGTGTCTCTGCAGTCAGGTAATACACAACTTGAAATCGAGAAACAGAAGCTTCAAAGGAAAATCACAGTGATGAGGGAGCTGTACCAAGACAATGAAAGGATGCTTCACAGGTGAGAGGTGTTTGGTAACTCCAGTGAATTGCAAGTGAAATGTCCTTAAATGCATGTTATGTATTAGAGGCTTTACACATTGATTATTGGATGTTATCAATTACATAGAATCATTCATGTTGTTTCTTTCTTTTTTTTTTTAATTTGGTGTTTGTGTTTTCAAGGCAGGATTTGTCTGTGTAGCTTTGCTGCCTATCCTAGAACTCACTCTGTAGACTAGGCTGGTCTTGAACTAAGAGACATCCACCTGCCTTTGCTTCCTGACTGCTAGTTTTAAAGGAGTGCCCTACATTACCTGGCTACATCATTCACATTTAAGAATGTTATTTTGTCTTGAACGTTTTTCTTCATGAACAAAATGTAAATATGTTGGAATTCCCAAGCTACCTTTCTCAGTATCTAGTAACATTTATCAGATTATTGCCTTAAACTCATGCTGACATACAGGGTCCGGGAATCTGAGTAGTGTCTTTGGATGGAACTTCCTGGTGTATATAAAACTGGGACTCCTTTCTTCTGTGCATGTTAGTCTTGCTTAATATTCCTTGTTGTAGTTACTAAATGGCAGTATCATTGTCTTTGTGAACAGGGCAGCTGCTAGTCAACCTTCAGTGCCCCTTTTGTGTCCCATATTTGTTTGTCTTATCATCAAATTCTGTCAAATTTCTTAACCTTTAATCTGATGGCTTTTTATCATCTACCAATACTCTGGTTAAAGCCATCATTAGCAGTAGTTGGTTCATTACAGTAGCCCTATGAATATCTTATACCTCAACTTCCTACACTGTCTTTTCTCTGTAAACTCAGAATAACTCCTAAAACATAAATTGTGCATACTGTCTTTCCTGGACCTCAACCCCAAATGCTTTTAAACAGACTTAAAACAAGATTCTCAGAGCCAAGCTTACCATACCCAACTTGTGAGAAGCTATAGACTATACTATGTCTCTTTTCTTTGTTGCTATCTATTGCCATTGGATTTCTTCATTTTTGGTGTGCCCAGCACATCTGTATGGTAAGGTCTTTCATCTTTCAAACTTTTTCTTTTCTTCTTATTTTTTTCACTATGTGGTGTTCTATGTGCTTGCATTTTCGAATCTTTGTTTCATTCAGATGTGGGTCCCACTGTCATCTTAAAGAATGCTTTCTTGGTACCCTAACTGAACCAATATCTCTTATTTTGTCCCGTTATTTCTCATCACATCTTTTTTGTTCTCTAAACATCATGTGCTCCACTTCTCATTAATTTAAACCCTGTAAGAAGTATGGTACTTTTATTTATATTCCCAGCGCCAAAACTGAAAGGAAAGTAGTGGGTTTCCAATCAATATTTGTGCTCAATCAATTCTTCAATGACCATGAAAGGATAATAATCAACTTTTACAGAAAAAGAAAAAAAAAAAAAAACAGGATAGCCAAAACAATCCTGTACAATAAAGAAACTTGAGGAGGCATCACCATCCTCAACTTTAAGCTCTACAACAGACCTATAGTCCAGAAAACAGCCTGGTATTGGCACAAAAATAGACAAGGTCACCAATGAAATTAAATTAAATATTCTGACATTAACCTACACAGCTATAAACACCTGATTTAGGACAAAACAGCTAAAATTATACAATGGGGCGAGGACAACATCTTCAATAACTGGTGCTGGGACAATTGGATAAGGGTATGTAGAAGACTGTACATAGACCCATGTCTATCGCCATATACAAAACTCAAGTCCAAATGGATCAACATAAATCCATCCACACTGAAACTCATAGAACCTCATAGAAGAGAAAGTGGGAGTACCTTTGAACAAACTGGTACAGAAGACTGCTTCCTGAACATAACTCTAGTAGCACAGACACTGAGATGTACAATTAATAAATGGGACCTCCCCACTGAGAAGCTTCTATAAGGCAAAGGACACAGTTGACAAGACCAAACGGCAGCCCACAGACTGGGAAAATATCTTCACCAAACCTATATCTGACAGAGGGCTGATCTCCAAAATATAGAAACTCAAGAAACTAGTCAACAAAACACCAAATAACCCTATTAAAAATGGGATTCAGAACTTAACAGAGAATTCTCAATAGAGGAAATTCAAAAGGCTGGAGGGCCCTAAAGAAAGTACTTACAATCCTTAGCTATCAGGAAAATGCAAATCAAAGGAACTACGAGATACCATCTTACTGCTGCCAGATTGGCTAAAATTAGAAACACCAAGAACAACTTATGCTGGACAGGATGTGCAGAAAGGGGAGCACTCCTCCACTGTTGTTGAGAGTGCAAAGTTGTACAGTTATTTTGGAGATCATTAAGGCGGTTCATCAGGAAAATGGGAATCAGTCTACCACAGGCCCCGGCAATCGCCATCTTAGGCATATACCCAAATGATCCACATCCATGCAACAAAGACTTCTGTTCTACTATGTTCATGGCAGCATGGTTTTTAATAGCAAGAATCTGGAAGCAACCAAGATGCCCTTCAACTGAAGAATGGATAAAGAAGATGTGGCACATTTACACAATGGAATACTACTCTGCCGGAAAAGAAAATAATAGAATCTTGAAATTTGCAGACAAGTGAATGGACCTTGTAGAAACCCTGAATGAGGTAACCCAGTCACAAAAAGAATACAATTGCATGTACTCAATCATATATGTATTTTAGACAGAGCAAAGTATCACCAGCCTGTAATTAAGACTGCCAAAGAAATTAAGATGCAAGGAGGATTCTAAGAGATTCATATAAGTTCCCTCACAGAAGGGAAAGTGACAAGATTTCCTGAGCATATGGGGAGTAGTGGGGCAGTGAGTGGAGAGGGAGCTAGGAGGAAGAGAAGGGGAGGAGAGGAAAGCATGTGGGCCTAGGAAGATTGAGTCAACGGGAGGAATAGATGAGAAGAGAGAGAGAGAGAGAGGGAGAGAGAGGTGGGGGGAACATAATAGATGGAGCAATTATATGTTTGAAGAGAAAAATGAACCTAGAGAAATGTCCAGAGACCTTCAAGATTCACTGCAAGTAACAATTTGAGCAACAGTGGAAGGGCTACCATAAATGCCCTTCCTTGATTGAGGACTGTCTTATCTACCATCATAGAGCTCTCATCTAGCAGCAGAGGGAAACAGAAGCAAACACCCACAAGTAACCACTGAGCAAAACAGGAATGCAGATGCAAAGCAAGAGGACAAGACCAGGCTACAAATACACATTGAGACAGCTGACCTGAAAAAGGAGGAGCTACTGGGCCCCAAGACTGAGAGCTGGGATTCCAGCATTGGACTGACTCAGACTCCCTAAACATGGGTCTCTGCCAGAAGGCCTGGGAAGTCTAAGGGACCTCTGACAGTGGAAACAGGATATGTACCTGGTGCACAAAAGGACTTTGGGTGCACATCCCCAACGGAGGGATACTCCCTTAACCTAGAGACAGGAGAGAAGGCCTAGTCCCTACTCCAAATGATGGGACAGATTTAGATGACCCCTTCTGGAAGACATCACCCTACATGTGGAGTAGGGTGGGAGAGGAGTGTGATGGTGGGGGGGCTTGAGAGTATGAAGGAAGGGAAACAGGAAGGGAGGGAGGGAGAACAGGGATTAATATGTAAAATGAAAAGAAATAAATAAAATTGTGCTCAGTGTATTTAAATATTGATAGCAATATGAGACATTGCCCTGACATGCCCAGAGGCAGAGAAAAGACCCTTGAGATACCAATCTTGCAATTGCTTATTTCCTAATAAGAATTATAGTTTAGAGTTTTCATTATAAAACCAAGCACACTTTGACTTTTATTGCCCTTTGGAAGTCCCTTGTGTGTCCTATTCCTTCATAACTTAAGTATGCATGTATTTATGTATGTGTGTATGTGATGTAAAGTCCATTGATAATTTGTTTGTAACCTTAAAGCCTGTTTTTCCCCCAGAGATTTGCTGGCCTTTCATGGGTAGACTGAGAATGATGAAGATTCTGAGAGGCCCAGTGTGAGAACTCCTGGTTGAGGGCTAACACAGCAACTTCTTTCAGTTCTCATTCTGTAAACAATTGTCTTCTCTGACTACCTCATCTTTATAGAATTGTTTATTTGGTGATGTTTATTTGGTGAGGTACCTGTTCACAGAGAATCCAAGCATGTGCTTGAGTGCTGTCATGTGTTCTTGATGGTAAGAAGGCCATAATATACTTTGTGGAGAAAATGCCATGTATAAGATTAACCTTGTTTTGTCTTAACTTACAGTGCTGTTGGTTGGGAATTTACTTTAGGAAATCTACAACTTATGTTAACTAAGATGTGTATTATTTTGTTCGAGACTGTTTCATGTAGTCCATGCTGGCTTGACCCTGATTACAGTCACTGTGTCTCTTAACTCCTGATCTTTCTGCTGTCACTTCCCAAGTGCTTGGCACACGTGTTTTCCACCATTGTAGATTGTATTTAGTTTTAAAAATGATTTATTTGCTGGGCATGGATGGTGCACACATATAACCCCAGCACTCAGGAGGCAGAGGCTGCTGAATCTCTGTGAGTTCGAGGCCAGCCTTGTCTACAAAGCTACATAGAGAAACCCCATCTTATCAAACAAAGCAAAACAAAGAAACAAAACAGTGATTTGCTCTTTTAAATTATGTATAATTTGTGTGTACCTGTAAACATAAGTGTTGGTGCATGTAGAAGTCAGAAATGTTGGCTCTCCCTGGAATTGTAGATAACATGCTGTTATGAGTCACTGGATATGGGTCTTGGGAATTGAGCTCAGGTCCTCTGCAAGAGCAGGATGTACTCTTCTTAATGGCTGAACTATTGCTCCTGCCCATGGAGATTTTTTTTCATTTTATGTGTATGTGAGAGTTCCTGTATGTATATCTGTATACAATGCCTGTGCCTGGTGCTCTCTAAGGCCCGAAGAATGCGTTGGATCCCTTGAAACTGAGTTACAAATGCTTGTGAGCTGCCATGTGGGTACTGATTACTGAACTTTTGTCCTCTGCCAGAGCAGTTTGTGCA